GCTTGATTCTCGACTGGCCCTTCGATTTCCACCTGTTCCAAGTCACGGGGGAGGTCGCGAAATCTGTGGAGGAGCTGATCATGGAAGCCTCGCTGAACTTCCCGTTGGAAACAGAGCGGCTGCGGGACCATTTCGGCATGGACGGTAAAAATCTAATGATGGTATGTGCCAAAGTGAGGGAGTTACTGCAAGCCAAGAAAATCGGCAAATCTTTACCTTCCGCAGAAGAGGTGCATCAATGGATGACGTCCGGGGGGCGCGTCAACTGGGGAATGTTCCGTGTCCCGAGCGTGAAGGTTGTGAGCACTTTGCTGAAATGCGCCGAGGTCCTCTCCAAGAGCTCCGAGGCCTGCTGTATCGTCGACAGAGCCCGGGCGCACTTCGGTCGCGATAATCTTTTCGACTGGCCCACGAAGATTCTCACGCTGGTGCGTCAGTGCGACACGCACTCCGGCCTCGCCTTCGCGTGCAGGTGGCTGTTCGCGCATATGCTGCGGACCAAGCAGAAGAACCCGTTCTCGGACTCTCAACTTGATGGCAAGGCGGGATTGTGGCGCAGTGCCTGTGGATCGGACGTTACGCGGTCCACCTGCAGAAGACTTTCCCCGACGCGCTCCGGAAGCCCATTGATGATCTTGCCCCGACTGAGGCAGCTGACGGTACAGCGGCTGTTGCAGCTGCTGGTGCGCGGCCGCCGCCGTCGGCCTGGGACACGGCGCGCGCGTGCCTCGGCGACCCGATGGCAATGTACGAGTTCCTGGAGGGCCCGAACAGGCGGAGGACGTGGTTGCAGGCGCTGCCGCGCGAGGCCACGCGAATGCTCATGTCGCACGCGCTGGACGTGTTTTCCGGCCTGTACGCCCCCGAAATCAAAGGCGCATTGTCCGCGATCACTGCGGGTAAGTACACGGCGGAGAAGTTCTGGGAGGCCGACCGCGTCAAGAAGCGGTTCCACGCTGAATTCATCGTAGCCTACAAAAAGGCAGCGCCGAAGACAGTCTCCAGCGATATGGCGGTCCCCGAGGCGCCCCCGTCGGCGACCTCGGCTGGGTCAGCTGAGGCAGCGGTGAAGCACGCCGAAGGCACTGCCCCTGACGCGCAGGCGGCTTTCAAGGCGCAGATCGAGGCGCATTGCCAGCGGGAGATGGAGGCGCGGATGGTCGTTCTGACGTCGGACGGGCGCCGCGACGAGCTGTGTGCCAGCGTGGTCTCCACGGAATTGTACGCGAACCTGGAGAGCGGTGACGGCCGGTTCGTGGCCGTGTACGATCCCAAAAACGCCAAGTTGTGCAGCGTTTTCGAGGGCGAGTGCCTAACCCAGCGAGAACCACCAGTTGACGAGGGCGATTTCAAACGGTTCTGCGACGTGACTGACAATGTGATGAAGCGGAATCAGGATATATGCTGGGTATTCGGTGGCAGGGTGGACACGAACGAGGCGAAGATCAAGAAGGTATTCAAGGAGAAAGGGTGGAAGGTGAAAGAGTTTATCCTCGTCTACGAAAGCAGGCTGATGGAGCGATACTATTGGAAAGTTTGCCGTGGCGTCGCTAATTCGAAGACCACGGAGAAGTTGTTCCTTTGCTGGAAGGGGAAGATGCCCCCGAAGATCCCGCAGGAGCGGTGGTACGTGGACTGCGGTTCGCGCATGTACGTCGAGGTCATGAGCAAGGTGCCCGTCTGCGCCCCAAAAGATCTTACTTTCGTCAGTAAGGACGTCCGCGATGCCAGCCTGAGGTCAATGATGGCGCCGCCCGACGAGTCTGCGTCCGCGGCTGCCGCGGCTGCGGATGGGGCGCTCGGGGAGCGCAACGCAGAGGGGCCGACCCAGAAGGAGATCGCCATTCACGCGAGGAAGCGGCGTCTCTACAGGCACCTGACTGGCACCGAGGAGGTTTGGTTCCCGTTCGATTTCCACAGCGCCGTCATCAAGGAGCTCATCTGGGAAGCTGGCGGTTCTGACGCGGTGAAGTGGGTATTGTTCGGCACCCCGGCGTCGGGCAATGGAGTGCTCGGCGCCTTGGAAATGGGGTGCAGCGTCATTGCGCTGACGGCGGACGAACACCATAAGACGCATTTCCTGAAGACGACGCGGGAGAAAGCCGTGGAGAGCGCTCTGACGGGCCAGGCGTCGGCGTTCTGCAACCGCGCCTTGTACTTGCAGGCCCAGGCGCTGCGAATCGTGAAGGACGGTCGGGACGGAGCCGAAGACGAGGGGAAAGATAAGGGCGCGGCGAGCAAGGACAATAAGAGCCCGAAGAAAAAAGAAAAGAAAGACCCTAAGAAAAAGGCAACGCCCAAGACAGAGAAAGGTGGCAAAGCGAAGAGCGCGGGCGGCAGTAAAAAGACCAAGAAGACCAAAACAAAGGACGACGCCCCGCCGCCCAAAAAGAGCAAGGCGGACCAGCCCGAGGAGGAGAGCGAGGGGGAGTCGGAGTCCGAGGAGTCCAGCGAGTCGATGTCCGAGTGAATTGCAGACGAATGCTGTTTCAGCTTTCAGTTACATGAGCCAGAGGCTGCTCCAGCCCAGTTTTGGATCGCTCGATTTTGACGTCACCCCTGGGGCCGCGGCAGTTCGAGGTTGGATCGCTCGGCGCCGCTGCGCCCTCGAGGCTGCGCCAGCTTCGGACATCCTCTTGGCGCGCGACCCAAGTTTGAAGCACTCTGCCCCGCGCTCTGGCCTGAGCGTGGAGCCCATTCTGCGTTGAAAGGCCGACCCCGATCGTTGGAACGAGATCGCTTTGGCGACGGGCGCCCCAGCCGACCATTAGAACATGAGCGTTCTAGCTCGCTCGGGGCGCCCTGGCGGCCCTTGGCCTCTCGCGGGAGGCGGCTCGAGACGACGCCTCGGCGGGCGGTGGTTTTGCCAGTGGCTGTCGTGGGAGACAGGTGGAGGCTGGCGGCGCCCTGATACTCGGTGAGTTGGCTTCGCGTGTCTGGAGTGAAAATCCCCCCCCCCCCTCCCGCTCCGATCCTCCGCCCTCTCCCCTCTCCTCATCCCTCCATCGCTCCCTCCTCCGTGCCATCCAACCCGCTTGCCACTGAAAACCATGAAAACAGCATCGGCATGAATAGTATGACCGCGAGCCCTTAAAGCGCCAGCCAGATGAGCGACGGTTCGACTTGAACAGCATGAGCCAAAATGGCTACGGAGGGGGGGGGATGGGAGGAGGAGGAGGAGGAGGAGGAGGAGGAGCAAGAGGATGAGGATCCCGGAGGGCGATGGAGTGACAAAGTTCTCGGCCCTCGGAAAAGTCTCGAAGGAAGGAACGCGACGCCACCACAATCAGAGCCACCTCTGACGAGGAGGTCCACGACGATACCTCCCTGATCTGGAGACCAGGACGCCGAACAATAGCGGGGCAGGACGCCACAAAGCAGCGGCATCGTCTTGGGGCGGATCGCTCGAACTGCCGGTTCGCGTTCCCCCTCTGAGGTCTCTCTTTGGCCCCTCTTGGAGCCTTCTTCTTGGGGCCCTCTCCGGCCGTCTGGGGGCCCTCTTGAGGGCCTCTTGTGCAGTGTTGGGGTTGATCTTGGGAGCCTTTTGGGCCGTCTTGCAGCGTCGGAAGCCCGAAACGACGAGAACGCCAACGTCCTTTAACCACGTATGGAACATCAATGATTTCTGCTTCTGTGGGTCCTCTTGGGGAGCCTCTTGGAGCCCTCGTGAAACGTCGTGGGAGAGCCTCTTGGGCCATCTGGATGGTGGCCATCTTGGCGGTCTTGCAGCGAAATCCTGGCGACTCGGGTCCCCCTTGGACCATTTTGGGATCCTCTTTGTGCCCTCTTGGCCTTTTTGAGTGCTTGTTGGTTCCGAGAAAGTCACGCGGCAACCCGCAGGGACACGTCGGGAAGCGCCAGGCGACAAGCGGGAAACCCCAGGAATCCAGGAATTTAAAGTCCGGATCTTCTCATACAAATCAAGACAAGAGGTCGAGGAACTCCAGGGAGCTGATGACACTCCACTTAGTTGCCGAGGCACGGTAGCAGATCTCGTCTTGATGTCAACTTCAGGTGGAGGTGCAGGTCAAGCTGAAGACTTCAGCTGATGCTGTAATCTACAAGTCTGGTCAAACTTCAGAGGGGCTGAAGTGAAATCGAAAGCCAATGCCAGCGCTGAAGCCGTGGCCAAGGTAATTCTGAAACAGCGGCAGGCCACGCGAGGCCATGTCGAGCTAACTGACTGTTCTCGGAGCCACGCACGCTTTCCAGCGAGAGACGGTCCTGAAATGTGTCCCACGTTTGGAGTCCCAGATTCCAATCTACTTTAAGCGCCTTCCTACTTCAATGATCGAGTGACTTCACCTTTTCCGTCCTCCCAAGGGGTCGGACGGAACCCAATCTATTTTTAACGCTTTCCTACTTAATGTTTCTACCTACTTCCTTCGACCGGTGGGTACCTGGGACTGCGATTGTCACGTGGACAACATTTTTGACGTCGCGAGTGCGCATCGTTAGTGGATTCCACAGGGGCGCCCGGAAGTGTGCTCCCATGTCGTCGAGAGTAGGCTGAACTTTGCGCCCGCGTTTCTCTGGCGTGACTTGACTTGTAAGTTCCAGCCTTGCGACATTGACATTCACTACAGAGCAAGGGGAAGTGTGCGGGTGCTCAGCTTTCCACGTGCACGCGCGCTCCCGCGTCTTGCTTTGCACGCGATTGCCACCACCAAGTCCACCCATCTGCGACGCCAGGTGGAGATTCGCCCGAGCGTGTCCCCGCATGGCGCTTCCCGACGGTGCCGTCTCACCTCGCCCACGGAGGCAGAGTTTTTTTTGTGTGTGTGTGTGTTTTGTGTGTGTGTGTGTTTGTGTGTGTGTGGGCGTGTGTGCGTTGTTGTGTGTATGTGCGTGTGATGGTGTGTGCGTGCAGCGATGCTGCACTGATGCGGGTTTGTCGCTCGCGCCAGGGAGTCTTGAGCACTCGCATCGGCCTCCGGCGAGCATGCGCGTGAGCGCGCTGCCCATCGGTGCATGACTGTTGCTCCTCTGCGCGAGCGCAGGCAGTCTCGGGCGATGGCCCAGCAGCAAGGGGCACCGCTGGACCGACGTGCGCGGCTCTCCCCGCGTGGTGAGCGCCTCCCAGGGATGGTGAGGGACTTGGCATCGCTCGGACGTGTGCATGTGCTCTCGGCGAGAACCATCGAGGACCATCCTGGACCATCGAGCAAAAAAAACACGCACGAAACCGAACAACTGCACGGGAAATGGACGTCCGAGCGACGGCAAGGGGAGGGTTGTATACAGTCGTCCCGGATTAGTGGGTCGACCCTGCCAAATCAAGGATACCTTGTGTCCTGTGTCTCGCGACCTGTGCCTCCTGCATTCCTATGGCAATGTGGCCCCCGGAAGAGTCTTTTGTCCTCTCGCGTGTCCTGTCCAATTAAGTCCGACTGTAGTCGAGGCGGATTGGTAGGTCGACCTTGCCAAATCAAGGGTGCTCTTGCGTCCTGTGTTCGGCGACCCATACCTTTACATTCCCATCGCAATGTGGCCCTCGGAAGGGTCTTGTGTCCACTCGCGTGTTCTCTTCAATCAACCTCGACTGTATCTGATGCAACGCCATCGATCAGTGATTCTGCTTGCCTATCATGCGTTTCGTGGATGTTGCTGGCTACCTCCTGCTTGCCGCGTTTCTTCGTGGCCCTGCATCACTTTCTTACGTGTTGAGCTGAAGGACGCCCGCGCGTGCTTCCCAAACTCGCCGCTGCGAGCTCCTGGCAAAGTGGTTGTGATTAGATTGTTCTGGCCAGGTGATGCACTATGATGCTGGCAGGGGCAATCAACATAACAGGGAGACAGGGAGAGAGAGAGAGAGAGAGAGAGAAACAAGAGAGAGAGAGAGAGCGAACAACAAAAAACACATGGTTATGTATACACAGTGAGGACTGCCAGAGAGCGACAGATGACGAGAGCGGTGGAGGTAGGGGCATGCCGATGGGGGGTGCTGAGACGGGGCAAGGCTTCCCGCAAAACGGCAGGGCTCCTCAAAATCCCGCCAGCCTTCCGAGAAGCCGCCTTCAGCTCCGGGAGAAGGCTCAGGAAGTCTCGCAGACGGCCAGGGGCCTCCGAGCCTTCTGAGAAGGCCTGCCCCCTCCGCCTTCCCCTCGGGCGCGCCGCCGATGTGCTTGACTCATGCATGTTTTCATGACTGCGGAGGGCCGCGAAGAACTCAGGAGTCGACCATAAAGGCTTTCGACTCTTGGAACAACATTTCGGACCGTTGGGAGCGCTTTGGGAGGCATGTGGAGTTCTCTTCGGGTCCTGGAGGGGCTCGGGGCTCTCTCGGGCTGTTCCAGGCGACCATCGGCTTAGGAAATGGACAGTCCGCAAAACAAGGTCGCCCTGCCAGTGGACGAACAACCGCCTCTTAGGGCGCTGTTGGGGTGCGATGACAGTGTCGAGCTCGATACGTTTTCGTCATCCTTGTTGCGCCACCTCCAAACAGTAGCGTGATGCGTGGCTCCATCAAGCGATCCCACATGTCCTTGTGGCCCTTCTGGGCCCGTCTTGGGGCTCGTTTGGGCCACCGTGGGGCCATCTTGAGGCCTCTCAGACGCTCGTCAGAAGCGAAAAGGCCAGAAGTCCAAAAGCATGGACAACTGGCACGAAGTCTGTGAGTATGCGAGTGTGAATGTATGTGAATGCGTGTGCGTTCGCGTGTGTGTGTGTGTGTGTGTGTGTGTGCGTGTGTACTTACTTCTCTTTCTGTTCTTCTCTTCCGACTACTGCGGTGCGCTGGGCCGCCAGCTGCGCGCCCAACGGTGTGGCGAGTCTCCCACCCCCAACGCCCAAAAATGTGTGTGTGTATATGTGTGCGAGCGTGTGTGTATGTGTGTGTTGGAGGTGTGTGTGTGTGTGTGTGTTTGTGTGTGTGTGTGCGCGTTCGCGTGTGTGTGTGTGTGCGTGTGCGTGTGCGTGTGCGCGTTCGCGTGTGTGCGTGTGCGTGTGCGTGTGTATGTGTGTGCGTGTGCGTGTGCGTGTGCGTGTGCGTGTGTGTGTGTCTGTGTGTGTCTTGGAGGTGTGTGTGTGTGTGTGTGCGCGTTCGCGTGTGTGTGTGTGTGTTTGTTGTGTGTATGTGCGTGTTGGAGGTGTGTGTGTGTGTGTGTGTGTGCGCGTTCGCGTGTGTGTGTGTGTGTGTGTGTGTTTGTGCGTGTGTGTTTGTACGCGTTCGCGTGTGTGTGTGTGTGTGTGTGCGTGTGTGTGTGTGCGTGTGTGTGCGTGTGTGTGTGTGTGTGTGTGTGTGTGTGCGTGCGTGCGTGTGTGTGCGCGTGTGCGTGTGCGTGTGTTTGTGTCGACTTCGGCCTGGAGCAGTTCAGATGCATCTGCAGTTCAGATGCATCCGGTGCTCCGTGCACTGGATGCTCCATGGGAGCTGCAGGGGGCCCGGATCGAGCCGGCGCGCCCTCCCAGGCGCCCCCGCACGCCCCCACACCCCGAGGTGGCAAACTTATCGTTGCGAAGGGCCTGGCCATACGTTTTCGATGGAGCTCCCCATGGCTTGGCATCGCTCGGACGTGTGCATTTTTCCTTTGGCGAGGACACTCGAGGAGCATCCCTGATCATTTGGCGAAAGAACCACGCACGAAACCGAAACGAAAACACAGGGAATGGGCGTCCGAGCGATGGCGAGATGGGGCTGCTAAGCGTGGGGGGGGGGAAGACGGCGGGCCCTGCCACTGGGGCCTTCGGTGGAGATCCCAATGAGGCCACGGAGCGTGTCAGGGGTGTGCCCGAGCGGAGGGGGCGGCGTGCAGAATTTCCCACCGGGGCCCTCGGTAGAGCTCCCCCACGGGGCCACGAGCCGCGAGAGGGGTCTGCCGAAGTGGGGGAGGGGGCGCACGGGAGGCGGGGGGAAGGGGAGGGGGAGGCGGAGGGGAGAGGGAAGACGTGGGGCGCTGCGGACTCAGCACGAAGAGCCAGCACCACGGGATGGTTGGGAATAATACCCACGGGGAGACAAAACAAGCCCCGAGGGGGAGGTGAAACCAGAGCGCCCCGATCACCCCTCTGTGTCGCTCCGACGTGTGCATGTTCTGGCGAGGACCATCGAGGAGCATCTCGAAGAACCTTGCGAGCACATGCACACGAGGAGTCGACAAATGCAAGGGGAACTGACGCCCGAGCCATGGTGAGCGAGGGGGGATCGACAAAACAGTTTCGGAGGGGGGGGGGTCGCCCCCCTCTTCAGGTGCCCCTCGCGGCTCCCGCTCGCGGCGGGGCTTCGGGGTCCGATAGGTTTCCCCCGCGGGCGTCAGGATCGATCAGGAGGGGAACAAGCACACAGGCACAGTTGATCGTCGACTCCCAGGAAAGTATGAGAAGGTATGGGAAGTGGGGGGAAAGACTAAAGCCCCAAACAGATGGGAAAATATTGGGAATTCTGTTACTTGTGTGTATTTATTTGCGTGTCCCAGGGCCCCTTCAGTCGAGCCGACTGCCCTCCTCCCTGACGGCACTGCGCTGTGGCCTCTCGGCAGTTGTTGTGGGGCCATCTTCGTCGAGGATAGGAAACCTTTAACCCACATGACTCCTCCTCCTCCTCCTCCTCCTCCTCCTCCTCCTCCTCCTCCTCCTCCTCCTCCTCCTCCCCCCCCCTCCTCATCCCTCCTCCCCCTCCTCATCCTCCTCTTCCTCCTCCCCCTGCCACTCCCTCTCCTTCTCCTCTTCCTCTTCCACCTTCCCCTTCCCTTCCTCCCCCTCCCCCCCTCCTCCTCCTCCTCCTCCTCCTCCTCCTGCTCCTCCTCTTCCTCCATAGTGAAGAGGTGCCCCCATTGATGCCCCCGTCTTTGCATTAGGGATCATCATCTGGGCGGCGTGGTTTGATACTTCGTAGAAATGGCCCGGATCCCCAATTTTGTTTGGCCCTTCTGACTTAGGCCGACTCACTCCCAAAGGGTCAGGGGTCCTCGTTGCTAATCACATCTGGCGAGGCGCGCGTGGCTGCCCACGGTGCGCATACCCGGTGCTCATCAGTGTGCGCACAGTCTCGTCCTCGCTCGGCGGCTACAGAGGGTGTGGTTTCGCCCGGGTGTGGTTTACGATCTGCGTCGTTGCCCTCGTCGGGCCCCCTCGGGGCGCGGTGGAGGTTTCTGTCGAGGTCCTCGTCCGCCCCGCAGGGTGCCGGTTGCAGACCGCACCCCCTGCAGACCACGCAGTGCGGAGTCGCCCGACCCGTGCGCGAGCGGGTCCAGCAGCGCGCAGAGATGCCGAGCCGTCGGGGGCCGCCCAGACGGGGCCCGGGGGGCAGACGGCGGGGCAGGAGGGTTCGCAGCGTCTCGCCGAGGCACTCCACGGCGTCAGGACGGAGCGAGCATTCGGGCTCCAGAGCTCGCCGCACCGCCGATGCATCGGCCATGCGGCGCCAGACCCCGAGCCCATCTACTCTGGCATTGTCTGGGCGGCCTGGGCATAGTTCCGCCACCGCACGACGCTCGCTTCGCCCAGAAAAAGAAAGCAGGCGACGGTGTCGCCTTCTCCACCAGTGTGCCCCTGAATTGCACATTACTGCGCCTTCTCACCATCCTCCATACCCTCATTGCGCTTTCACTCGATATGCCCTGACGCGCTTCCGTGCGCCGTCAGGGGCCCGGCCTGCCGAGGCAGGTTTTCAAGACCGTTCTGTTCCTGTCTCTCCGTCACCCTCCGCGCAGTGCCCACCCGTTCCCCGAGGAGTGCTGCGTCGTCTGCTTCGAGGAGTCCCCGCGGTACGCCGCCGTCGGCCGTTGCGGGCACGCCGACGTCTGCTGGCTGTGCGCGATCAGGCCCGGTGCCGGGCCCCGCCCACGCCGTCTGTCCGCCTGGGTGGCAATATATACACGGAGTACGCAGACACCCTCCAGTGGGGAATACGCAGACACCTTCCAGTGTTAAGTCGGGCCTGTCCCTCTACAAGGGGAATAGTCAGAAAATAGTCGGGGAACTATTTTTTGAGTATTTCCGGGCATCTTTGAGTATTTTTTTGGTATTTTTTATTTTTCGTCCAAAATCCCCCTGTAGGGGGACAGGCCCGACATAACTCCAGTGGATTTTTCTTGGGTCTCAGGGGTGGGTGGCTGTGCACAGGGGCAAACGATGTTATTCACCGCCACCCTCCCTGCGGGCACGTGAGGACTCACTGGAGGGGGCCAGTGTATAGACGTTCGTGGCGCAGTTGCCAGCTTTTTCTCTTGATGTCCGTCGGATGCCAGAATCGGGGACACGCTGACCCAGGTCAGCGCTGGCCTAGGCCAGCCAGGACCTTGTCGCGAACTCAGGTTGGCCACATGACGGCTCCCAACGCAGGGTTAGCGGAGGCTGGAGAGTCGTCGGTTCCACGTGGCGTCCAAGCCCAGGTGAGCCAGAGGAGATTAGAGGAGGAGGTTGGCTGACCCCGTTACCTGCGCCCTGGCACAACATCACATATGCAAACATTTGAGACGTTCGCTAGGGGCATGATTTCGCATGTGCCGCTCCCCCCCCTGGGACGTACGGAGGAGGAGTCTGCGGGAGTTGAGTTGTCTCAGAGGCAAACTTGGGGTGGATGGCTCCAAAAGTCAGGTCGAGTTTGCCCTTATGGCCCCTCTTAAGGCCGTCTTGGGGGTCTCTCGGGCCCCTCTCGGCCAAAAAGGCGTTCGAATTCAATTGAATGTTCCTTGTGCTACAACTTTGATTGTAGAGTCACAACGACGGCACAAGAGCAGCGTGTTCAGTGTAGTATTGCCACAGCTGCTTCTGTACTGATGTCCCATGTGAGTAGCTAAAACGCCTAGGGCGAATCACCGCCGCACTCTACCTGTTGGAAACGCCAATGCGGCCAAACGTTGGGCCGAAGTCTGGCCAATATATTGGACTATGTGTTTCCCGAGCCGTTGTGAAACCCCTTGGGGGGAGACTGGGAAGAGGAAGAGAAAGAAGCAGGAGAGGGAGGAGAAGGAAGAGGGTGAGGAGGGTGAGGAGGGAGAAGAGGAGCCCCTTGAGGTCCTCTTGAGGCCTCTTGGGGCTGCCTGGGAGCCTTCTTCTCAGGGGCTCTAAGGGGCCTCTTGGAGGGCTCCTGGAGCCTCTGGCCTCCTGGGGGAAACGGGCCAGCGCCACGACAAGATTGCGCTGTCGGAGGAGAGGAGAGGTCTCTGCCCCGTCCCCAGTCCGGGGTGGACAGAACCCCCAACAGTGACACGTCGATTAGTGGATTGTCCGTTTTCGGTTCTCGAGAGGGCGCCGTGACCGCTATTTTCCAGGCTTGCGCCCGCCAGGTTTGGGCCTCAGGTCGTTTTCACTCAACCACGTTAAAGGGGGGTCTGTCCATCCCCGAAGGGTACTTCTCTGCCCCTGGCATTTCTGTTGGGGTCCAGGGCCCACGAACGGCCCCCCGAGGACCGAAATCGAGGATGAACCTCCGGTAGGCCAACATTCATGCCGTCGGAGGTCTGCGTCCTTGTCAGCTCTCCGCCGCGGCCGCCGCCGCCTGCAGCCGTGCTGGCACATCCACTTCCGCAGCTGCTGGAGCGCTGCCCTTACGTCGGGACGGACCCCATACAGGAGGAATCTTCAAAAGTAGTCCAAACATAGTACGGGGACGATTTTTTGACTATTTTGGGGAGTTTTTTCCGATATGTGTTGCCTATTTTTATTTGTTCGCCCAAATTCGCCCTGTAGGAGGACAGGCCCGACCTAACGCTACCCTGGATCCCGGGGGCTAGGGCGTACGCGGGGCGCGGCTGCCGCAAGCAGGCCGCAGCCGCCCACGGAGCCTCTTGGCCTTTGGAGGCCGTCTTGGGGCCCGCCTTGAGGCCGTCTTGGAGGCCTCTGGGGCCGTCTTGGGGACGTCCTGGGGATCTCTTGTGCTGTCTTGGGGCCTCCTTGGGCCGCCTTGCGGGCCTCATAAGGGGGCCTCCTGGGCCACCTTGGGCTGCCTCGTGGCGCCCCTGGGGCCTCTTGCGATCTTGGGGGCTTCTCGGGCCGCCTTGAAGCGTCGACAGCCCGAGTAACCGAGAACGCTCGACTCCTTCAACGGGGGCTGATGGGCCCGTGCCGGAACGTCCGAAGCCCGAAACGGCGAGAGCGCTAACACCATCCACACCACGAGGAAGATACAGGAGGAGGCGGAGGAGGAGGAGGAGGAGGAGGAGGAGGAGGAGGATGTTGGCCTCCTGGAAGTGCTCTTGGAGCCCCATCTTTTCCGTACCCATGTCGGGTGTCCAAAGTTTGGGGGCGAGTTTGTGGGCTTCTGGGGCGTCGGAAGCCCGAAACGGCGAGTTCGATACTGAAAGCCCATGGAACATCCACGAGTTTGGCCTCCTAGGGTTCTCTTGGGGTCCTCTTGGGGCGTCTACGGGCCCTCTTTGCCTTTAGAGGCTGCTTGGGCCCTCCCTGAGCATTTGTGGGTCCCACTTTGGCGTTTCAGGGCCGTCTTGGAGGTCTGTGGGGCCGCCTTGGACTGTCTTGGAGCCCTCTTGGGCCGTCTTGCGGGCCTCGTGGGGGCCTCTTGGGGGTCTCTTGGGGCGATCCAGGGGGCTTGTGGGGCCCGTCGTGGAGCGTCGGAAGCCCGAAAAGGCGAGAACGCTAGACCCATGGAAGCACCAAAGACACATGCATGAGTTTGGCTTCCTGGAGGTCCTCTTGCAGCCATCTTCGGGGGTCTAAGGGGCCTCTTTGGCCGTCTGGAGAAGATCTTGGGACGTCTTGTGGCCATCTTGGCCGTCTCATAGAGCGGGAACATCCTTGCCGACCGGGTCTGGGCGAGTTGTCCGGGTGGCTGGCGGGTTGGGACGACCCCCCCTGGGAGTTCTTTAGAAAAGAACCTACCCCTCAGAAGTCTGGCACGCCGTGCACTCTTGCGGCAAGAACATGGGGCGGCGGATCTAGTGGTCTTCGGCCCACCTCACCACCGCTCCCGGATTGTAGGTCAGAAGCCTCTGGGATGCCAGTGGGGATCTCTTGGGGGCCTCTCGGAACTCTCTCGGATTCGGTTTTGGGGTGTCTTGGGGGCCCCTCGGGGGTCTCTTGGGGGCCTCTCGGGGTTTGATTTGGGCATCTTGGGGCCTCCTGGAGGTAGTGGGAGGCCTCTTGGGAGCCTGCTTGCGGTCTCATTGGCCATCTTTGGGCGAATAACTCGGACTCCGAATGTCGGTTCGTACTCCCCCTCTGGCCGCTTGTGGTTTGTGCCGTCCTGGGGTCATCTTGGGCCGTCGGGGGGCTTCTTGGAGGCTTCTTGGGCCGTCTTGGAGCGAGCTTGGGGGCCTCTTGAGCCGTCTTGGGGCCATTTTTTGCTTGGGGGCCTCTAGGGTCGTCTTGAAGCGTCGACAGCCCTAAAAGGCAACATGCTGAGGTGGTTCGGCCCGTTTCGCATCATCTGTGCACCGAGACGACCAGGTTTGACATGATCCGGCCCGTTTCGCTTGAAACATCCTCGCAAGTCGGGGCTCCCAGACGCAACGCGAGTGGCGGTCCGGCGGCCCATTTCGCTTGAAAAATCATCCGAATTTTCGGGTTTGGGATACCGTGACCTGAGGTTATCTCGTCCGATTCGCTTGAGGCATTATCGCTGAAGATGTCGCCCGCGAGGTGATTCTGGTCGGTTTGGCCTGAGACGCCCCCGCAATTCTTGGCAAAGAGATGCCGTGTGCGAGGGGGTCCAGCCAGTTTCGCATGAGACGTCCCTGCAATTCCGAGCAACCGCTGAGGAGTGCGAAGCGATGAAGGAGTGGGAGGAGGAGGAGGAGGCGGAGGAGGAGGGAGGAGGAGGAGGAGGAGGAGGAGGATGACTGAGGACGAGGGCGAGGAAGGATATTGCTTGTCTTGCTGTCAGACAATTACTCTTGTTTCAGTGCTCTCGGGGCACTTCTCGTCGCCAGGGCTGGACGCGGCTCGATCGTGCCTGGTGATGCTGGCTGGTGCTCTGTTGACGAAGGGTGTGTCACGGGCCCGTTCGCGCCCAGATTGTGGGGATGTCTCGAACGGTCCGCTTGTGTTGTGATTCGGAGCCGTATGGTCCTCGCTGGCCATCTCGGTTGGCTTTTGGTGCTGTTTTGGGCCCCATCCAGGGCTTGCCTTGGCTGGCGGGCGGGGCAGTGCACCTGAGCCCCGGTGCCCGGATCTCCCGGGACAGCTCCGGGCGACCCCGGCAACCCCAGCACGGTGGTGCCAGGGAGGTGCTGGGGAGGGGTTGCCGTCAAAGAGTTGGGTGCGCCCCATGGCCCACAGAGAGCCATCTTCGGAGCCTCGGGCTCCGAGAAGCCCTGACTTGATGTGCTCTGGCTCGTTTCGCTTGAAACGCCTTCGCAACACGGGGTTCCAAGATGTGATTCGCGAGGCACTCTGGCCCCTTTCGCCTGAGTCATCCTTGGGTTCCAAGATGTAGCTCGCGAGTTACTCAGGCCCGCTTCGCCTGAAACATCCTCCGAACCCAGGGCTACTGCGAGATGCCCTGACTTGAGATGCTTAGTCCCGTTTCACCTGAGACATCCTCGGAACCCCAGGCTTCGAGGTGCCCTGAATTGTGTTGCTCTGGCCCGTTTCGCTGGAGACGTCCTCACCACTCTGAGTTCCGAGATGTGGTTCGCGAGGCACTCGGGCACGTTTCGCCTGAGACATCCTCGGAACTTCTGGCTCTGACCGTCGGCCTGAGATGTCTCGCAACTCTGGGTTGAAGATGCGGCGGTTCGCGAGGTGCTCAGGCCCGTTTCGCTTGAGACATCCTCGGAACCCCGGGCTCCGAGGTGCCTTGACTTGAAGTTCTCTGGCCCGCTGGGCTTCAGACATCCTCGCAACTCACACCTCTGGAGTCCAAGATGCGGCTCGCGAGGTGCTCTGGCCCCTTTCGCCTGAAACGTCCTTGGATTCCAAGATGTGGTTCGCGAGGTACTCAGGCCCGTTTTTCCTGAGACATCCTCCGAACCTGCGAGATGCCCTGAATTGAGGTGCTCTGGCCCGCTTAATTCGCTTGGGACGTCTTCATAAGGGTTCCAAGATGTGGTTCGCGAGCTACTTTGGCACGTTTCGCCTGAGACATCCTCGGCATCTCTGGCTCCGAGATGCTTTGACTTGAGGTGACCCGGATGGAAGTGCGCCACCCTTGAAGACGACATTGACGGAGTTGTTGCTGGGGTTGCCCCCCGTGCCGGGGGAAGTTGGGGACCAATCGAAAGTGACAACAAACGAGGAGTCGCAATACATATCTCTATATATGTACATATACATATAACGGCGCACCGGGTCCGGGGGCCCGGGGCCGGGACCTCGACCACAAATGTGCGCCCCAGGGGGCCCGGAGGCTCGTCGGGGCTTGCCGGAGGCCTCCCCAGTCAGACAAGACGGCCCAAGAAGCGCCCAAGACGGCCCAAGAAACTTCCAAGAGGCCTCCAAGAGGGCTCCGAGATGCTGAAGATGGCCTCCAGACGTCCAAGGAGGCCCCCAAGAGGCCCCAAGAAGCCTCCAACATGCGTCCCAAGAGGGCCCCTAGACGCAAAAATTGGCCAATTCCCTTCGTAAAACGTACATTTTTCACAGAGTTGCCTTTTGGGCTTTCCGACGTTACAGGACGGCCCAAGAGGCGCCCAAGACCGCCCCAAGACGGCCCAAGAAGCTTCCAAGAGGGCCCCAGGACAGCCCAAGAGGGCCCCAAGACGGCCCAAGAGGCGCCCAAGATGGCCCAAGAGGGCCCCAAGACGGGCCCCAGAGGGGGCCCAGAGGGGGACCACGAACCGCAAGCTCGAGCCTTCCGCCCCGAGAGGCCGCCAGGAGGCCCCAAGGAGGCCCCTCAAGAGGCCCCAGGAGACCCCCAAGAGGCCCAAAGGAGGCCCCCCAGAAGCCCCAAATCGGCCCCAAAAATTTGCTTCGAACCTGCTTCCAGGAGGCCCCCGACAGGTTACGAGGCTCCCGAGAAGCTACGTCAAACTCCCAGAGAGCGGTGACAATCCTAGCTAGAACCTAAGCGCGCGAAGCGCGCGCGTGGTTCTAGTATATATATATATGTACATATGTATATATAAATATACATCTGCATACAGGCGTCTATAGATAGATGTGTACATACGCGTGTGTTGTATACGTCAGAGTTCAAGGGAGTTGGCCTCATTGGATTGTATATTCGCATACCGACATAAGGGGTAATATACGTGCAAGGCTAGCTTTGCAATGTATGTCACACATGATCATGATCAAGGCGAGATGTTTTCATTGCCACAAGAAGTGATGCATTGCTCGTCTGTGGGCAACGCCCAAGCCCAGAGCATTTTGAAGCAGCAGGAAGTGGCATTGCAAAGAGTAACTCGATATTCAGTGTGTACAAGTGCGCGCGGGAGCTTGCGAAAGGGGCAGCCTTTGTGGATCCGCCAGGCTCCGTGCTTACCTCAACGATTTACGATGTCCAGTCTGCAAGGACCACTTGCTCCGTGATGACGTTTAATTCGGCATGTCGCACTATGCCTTGTCCGTTGCTGACCTGCTTCTGTTGCTGGCTCCATGCAATCATGCAAAACCGCCATCGTATTAGGGGCCGTTGTGTCGCGGCATGTCTTCTCCTGACATCGTGAGGATTCGTTGTTGGTGTTCTCTATGGCGTGGCACCACGGTTTCGAACGACTTTGGAATCCATCCAGTGGAATCACAGCGCGTTCAGTCGTATTTGTTTCTACCTGCTATGATGCAGAGATAGAGTGGGAGAGAGAGAGAGAGAGACCGAGAGACGCGAGTGGAATAAGGGGCCGGACTCTGCGGCGAGGAGACCCTCCAAGAGGTCGCGCTCGTCCGCGGCGATGGCGAAGGCGGGCGCTAGTGCCTACCGCCGTGGGAGGGGGGCGCAGGCGCGATGTTGTTGGCCCACCTCGCAGTCCTTCGTGCCCAAAGGAGTCTGACTCTGTCCAACCCAAAACCCTCCTCCGTTTAGGATGGAGCTCTTGGCAGGTTGAATTCAGCATCGGCATTGGTATATCCGTGTCGAAAGGCGGCTCGAACCAGCACAATGCATATTCCCGCTGAGTCCCGCTTGACCCCGCTCAATCTCAGCCATGCTGCATCCAGCTTGATGGCCCTCCCGTCGGGCTTGGCAGCCCTTAATTCGTCGTTCTTGCAGAGACCTCCCAGGAGTTCCCTCCTGACCCCGCGGCGCGCAATAGTTGTACCATCTCGTCCACACGTCCGCCCCATACGATGTTCCGACGTGAGTCTAGCCGAACTCCGACGTGAACCCGACTTGAACACGACGCGAATCTGACGTACAGCCGGGTCCCTGAAGAAGGAACCCTTTTCGTTTGGGAGGGGCTGGGTGTTCCTTGATTGTTCTGCAGTTTGCCTTTTGTTTTCCTGAGGTTTTCCATGGGTAATCGAAGTTCAACTTATTGGAGAAAGGGGCCCCGTTCCTTTTTTCGGGTTTCTTATGTCAACGCCCCGACTGTAAGGCGCGTCCCAATCAGCCGTGCAAATCCTCCAGGATTTTCCTCGTAACCAAACCTGCCCCCCGCCGACTAGGGCAAGCGCCGCTGACTGACTCGGCGACCGCCGCCCTCGGTCGAAAGCCAGCGAAGCCCGGCATCATCCCGTTTAAACTCACTTGATCCCGTTGAATCCGACTCGATCCTGGGCTCTACCATGCTGCGTCCGGCTTGATGGTCCCTCCATCGGGCTTGACAGCCCTTAGGCGTTCTTGCCAAGACTTCCCAGCAGTTGCCTCCTGATCCGTCGGCGCTCAATAGTTATATGATCTGGCCTGCCCGTCCGCCCCATCAGATGGGACGACGTTCGCGCGGCGATGTTCCGACGTCAGTCCAGCGCAAATCCGACGTGAACCCGACGTAATCCCGACGTGAATCCGACGTAACTCAGGTCCCAAGTGGCAGCGCGAATCCTCCAGGATGTTCCTCATGACCGAACCTCCCCCCTGCTGTCTTGGGCAAGCGCCGCCCGCTGACATGGCCACCGCCGCCTCTGGTCGAAAGCCAGCACAATCTGGCATACTCCCGCCTGATTCCGCTCAATGCGGCTTGATGTTGGGTTCTGCCACGGTTCATCGGGCTTAACGGCCTCTCTTCATCGGGCTTGGCAGCCCTTGGCCGTTCTTGCGAAGATTGCCGTGGAGTGAGTTCGTTGCCTTCTTTTCGGGGGCCAAGAGACGGGGGTCAATGCAAGCGGGGGTCAGCCAGAGCGCCCGATGTTACAGGATCCTGCAGGGCCAGGGTCGCATTGACCCGGGCTTGGGTGCAGGATCCCGCAAAATCTTGCAGGATTATTCGCATTGACCTAATTAGGTTTGGGTGCAGGATTTTACAGGATTCTGCAAGGCCTGACTGACCGGGGTCTGGATTGACCCGGATCAGAAGACCCCCGATCTTTACACAAGGAGGCAATGGTACCGAAACCGTTACTCGCTGGACATCTTACAGGGTGCGTCCTAACAAGAATGTCGAGGAGAATCCAGCGGTGGGGTCTCCCAGGAGGCGCACAATTGCGGTTTCAGTACCTTCTCCTCCTCTGACTATAGCCCCGTGGGGTCGCCGCAGTCTCAGGAGTTTCCACCTAGAGCTCCCCATCATCATCAGCATCATCAACACCACCATCACCCTCATCACCACCATCACCCTCATCCTCATCCTAATCATAATCCTCATCATCACACTCCTCATAATCATCATCAGCATCTTCATCGTCAACGTAATCATCATCGTCATCATCATTATCATCATCGTCGTCGTCATCATCCTCATCACCACCATCACCCTCATCCTCATCCGAATCATAATCCTCATTACACCCCTCATCATAATCATCATCAGCATCATCATCATCATTCTCATCATCGTCGTCATCATCATCGTCATCTGCCTCTGCCTCTGCCTATGCCTCTTCTTCTTCCTCGTTCACCTCATCATAATGGTCATCATCACCCTCATCCTCAACCCCATCCTCATCCTCATCACGATCATCATTCCCATATTCATCACCAGCACCATCATCGTCGTCATCATCAGCATCACCATCATCAATCACCATCATCAGCAACACCATCGTCATCATCACCACCACGGTCATCATATCATTCTCATCATCACCAGCATCACCGTTCTCAATACTATCATATCGTCATCAGCATCTCTATTTTTTCATCATGAGCAGCACCCTCAACACCACCATCATCATCATCATCATCATCATCATCATCATCATCATCATCATCATCATCATCATCATCATCATCATCATCATCATCATCATCATCATCATCATCACTATCCTTCCGTAGCCATTTTGGCTCAATTTGGAACCAACGCTCCGTGGCTCCAGCTTGGGAGCAGCCAGGGAGCAGCCTCGAGGGTCTTGCCAAGAGGTGGCGTGAGCGCACCCTTTCACCTGTGCCCTCGCTCCACCCACAGTGTGCACACCCTCCAGATTGCCCCGCCCCTCCATATCAGACATGGCTGAGATTACACAGATGCTCGATGCTCACCTGGTGTCGACCGCCACCATGATCGATCAGAAGAGCTCGGGCGTGACGGCCACTCCCGGAATCCAGGGTCAGTTGATCAAAGAACTCGCCGACCGCTTCGAGCAGACAGAAAGCAGGATGGACGCGCTAGAACAGGCCCAGCAGATTGCAGCATCTCGTTCTCCCTTGTCTCATGCTGTTCCTGGGAATCATGGGAAGTGCAGGGCCGTTGACAGTTCAGTCGGTGATGGATCGACCACAGGAGGAGGAGGTTCGGCTCTCGAGGATGCCCACCGTCTTCTCGTTTTCGGGTTCCAGGACAGGCTGATGGCTGCGAGTCTCGAGCGCGTCGCTAAAGATATTGTCGCCATGTGTGCTACAGACCAGATGCCCAGTTCATTCGGGTTCGTGCGTATGACTTGCAGAAGAAGGTCACCCGCGACATCCCTACTGCCGCCATGCCCCCCGACTTGTATATGTATTTTCGGAAGCTCAGGGAATCCGATTCCATGCCCAGCCCTCGGAACCTTCCGCAGCTCTCGCCTCTTCGTGTTCGTCGCAATCTTTCTCCTCAGCATCGGCCCCTCTTCTTCAAGATGGGGAAAGTTCGGGGTGCAGTGCAAGAAAAACTGAACAAGGTAGGACTTCAGGCGAATTCGAATGGGATCGGTGGCGATGTGTCCGGTCGTCGTTCCTGCGAGGATCCCGCCCCTCTCGTTCGTTTGCGCTGCTGCCCAGGGCATGCGGGCAACAATCACAGGAAGGTTGGCGAGTCAGGATTGACAGCGTCGACTCTCACAACACTCCTGAGCTGCGTCAGAAACTGTTGCGTGCCTTCGAAGCCGCGCCCGCGCGGCACTTTCAGACAGGACGATGACTGGTCAGGCTGCCCTGGGGACCAAATTTATGCTCTTCCCTCGGGGGCTCCTGGCCCGAGCCTCTTTGGAGGGCGCCCACGCCCTTGAGAGTAGTATTGGATTCTCTCCAGTTTTGTTCGATCAGCTCAGACTCTGGCTCGAGCGGCAGTTTCAGTTCCAGCGCCCATCCTGATGAGGGTGGGCACAGTGAAATGCTGCTCCCTTTTGCCCCTCCCCTGTCCTGCCCTGTCTGTGCCCATCCGGAACTGTAGAGACTCTTCGCTTCCATCCCTCATGCTTGCATCCGCGCCTCCCGACGTTACAGGCAACTATTGAGGCATGCTCGCCGTGCGAGCGTTCTTTGCATTGAAGAGACTCACGGAACAGCTGGGGATGCTCGGGCTCTTCAGAACGATATGCAACGCATGTCTATTGGAATATCTGGGCACGCTGCTGGTGTTGCTGGGGGCGTTCTCACGACGCTATCTCCTGGGCTGTGCTCTCTCTTCACGGAGGTTCGTCCCGAGAGTATCGGTTCTGGTCGGATTCTGATTCGCGGAATGCGTTGGAGACCTCGGCTCGCTCTGGGTCCTCGGCGTCCACGTTCTTAGCTTTGGGTGACCTGCTTGGACCTTTCACCGATTCCGTCGTCTTATTCACAGGGCCCTCCTGGGGGCGCTGAGTGCTTTGATCTTGATTGGTGGGGGCTTCCATTTCACGTTGGAAGAAGATGGGAGGCAGCGTGAGGGCGGTTCTGGGTGGAGACCTGGGGATCGCTATCGGCATGACGCATTTCGCATTCGTTTCCTTCGATGGACTGAGGTCCACCAACCAGACCCCAGGCGGCGTGAGATTGCCAATGGGGCGATGCGCCATGCCCGCCGGCTGGATCGTTCATTTATTGGTAACACTGCTGCTGTTGTATTTGACCTGGCCACCGCCTGCTCTGCTTTCGGGGAAGCGACGAACGCCCAGAATGCGTCGGACCATGTTCCCGTGATTGCTACTTTTCGGAGGTACGAGCTGTCTGAACATATATCGATCCCATCCGGGGCATGGGAAGCCTCCTCGGTTTCTGAATTGAGCTGGAGACACTACCCACCGAAAGGGACCGCGGGGGCCCGATGTTTGATCTGGTTGAGTCGGTTAAACGCAGTATGTTCGAAGCCCAATAGCTGACTCGTGCCCACCTGTCTCGCGCAGTTGTCAGATCGACGGATGAGACGGCACATGTTGCTCTGGCTGCTCTCCAGGGTCTTCGTGCTCGGCATCCAGAGACAGTCTCCATTGCCACCTCTTGCAATCCACCCCTTCTCCCGCTTTTTCGTCTTGGAGCGACTTCCTTGTCGCGATCCACCTGCTATGCGTGACCGCGCTCAGACTCTACAGACCGGGTGTGCTGCGCAATTGGAGCGCGGGGCGGATGCCGATGCCGGTGCTGAGATCAAAGCTCGACTGCGTTCTCGCCTTCAGCGCCGTCGCGATCTTTGGAGGCCGCCTCAGAAACGGATCTCCCCCGGGACTTCCCCGGGCGCCGCTGGGGCCCCGCGCGGGGCGACTGGTCAGGCCTGGCGGGGGGGGGGCTTGAGTCTTTGGCAATTTTGCAACTTTGAGTGTGACGCGCCTCCTGGGCCTGAGCTGGAATCCCACGTCGCTCCCGTTGCTGACTTTCCCGGTGATTGATGGCGCCTCGAGGTTGAAGAGTTTGAAGCCAGCGTGAGAGGGGGGCGTGATTCAACGCCTGGTCCTGACGGAATTGTCTACTCCAGTTGGGCAAGTCCCATGCCCTTTGCTGCGCTCTCTGACTTGCGCTGACACATTCTGGACTTCGTGGCGCGCGGTTGCCATGGTCTCTGAGGGCGATGCTACTTATCTTCTTGGCCAAACGGGGCCACCCCTCTGATCTTTCATCCTGCCCTTCTCGCCCCCCTAGCGCTCGTCGCCCACTTGCCGCGTCCAACGCTGACTACATTGTCATGCATGTCGTTATGTTCTTGGCGTCTGGCGAAGGAGGCAAGGGGCGCAGTGCGTCGGGTGCAAGCCTGCCTTCGGGGGCGCCCAATGCAGGATCAGATCTTGGAGGTTGAGGTTCGGGGAATCCAGCAGTTCATGCTGGGGCTTGATCTGGCCTGCATGTTCCTGACCTGCTTCGCCGCCGCCTTTCCGAGTATTGCGATTCCCTGGCTGCTACGTGTTCTCGTGGTTATGCGCGTCCATCCTGGGATTGTTGTCTTTTTTGATGCTCTGTGCACTGGGTATATTTGGACTTTCTGCTTTGGAGGGAAGCGGCGCCGATCGATTCAGTTGCTGCGTGGTGTTCGGCAAGGGGTTCCATCCAGCATGTTACTGTTCGATCTGGCTCTTGACCCCTGTCTGCGGTGGCTGTCTAGTCGACTCCCTCGGCAAAGCTTGGCCTGCGCCGATGATCTCTGGTTTGGGCTTCAGGATGCGAACATCGATATCCCCCTACTCGTGCCCGTTCTACAACGGCTTGAACCTGGCGTCGGGCTTGCGCTGAACCTTAAAACTGTGGCCCACGGATCTCGCCTCGCATGGTCCGCCAGACCCGTCGGCTAGTTGAGAATTTGGGCTCCGGTGCTTCTTCGATCGCACTGGCCCGTCATGCTCGGTACCTGGGGATGCAGATTTGCCCTGATGGGTGGCAGCATGCCTGGGGTGACGCCCTTAGGAAATACCGCCAGCGACGCATCGAGATTCGGCGATTTCGGATTGGGTTGGCTATGGCGATTCGGACGTACGTGATCTTTGCTGTCTCGGTTCTACGTTTCGTGATGCAGTTTTACCCTCTGTCCCGCGCGGTTATCCAGCGCGAAGTGAACGTGCGCCGAAAGTTGAATGCGGGGCCCAGCTTTGCGTTGCAAATTGGCATTGCGACCAAGGGTAGGCTTGCACACCACAGTTACGTCTGCGATGCGATCCGCACCCGTCTCTCTGAACTTGTGCGGGGCAGTGATTCTCATCCTGCACGTATGCGGCTCCCTTGGTGGCAACGTACTTTCTGTCGCGCCGTCGTTGCTAGCTGGAGTGGTCATATTGCTCTCCCCTGCTCCGCTGATCTTTACTATCCGCTGCCTTCAGGCCATGGTTGCGAGGTGGGCCCCAGGGATTTCTATTGCCCAAGTTTCAGGCGCCGTTCAAGCTGCCAGGAATATTTGCATGGATGGTTCGATTTACCTGGGGCTGGGTGTATTGCGTGTCCTTGCTAGAGGTGTCTGCGCTAGTGCTGGTTTGCATGGTGGGGCCACGCGGCGTTGCTGGATTTGTGCTATTCCTGGGTCTTCGGATTCTATGGAGCATTCTGCAGTATACCATTTGCGGTATATTTTGGTTCCAGCGTTCAAACTCTTGTGTCTCCCCCAGCCTTTCTCTCGCTGCTTTTAATATGCTCCAGCATCCTCGATGGGTCTCTCTTTGTGCAGGCTAGCTTTCGCGAAGGGGCTCGGGCCCCACCCCGAGACTTTTTTTCAGGGGCGCATTCGGTTGCACTGCCGTCGGCGTTCTAAAATAGTTGATGCGCGGTCTGGTGCCGGCGGGTAACTCTCTGCTCTCTCGCAGGGGGGGCCGTCTTTAAGGTGCTCGTCGCCGCCGCGTGTCGTCGTCTCCCTTGGTCGGTCAGAGGGTTGGTGGCTTGGCGGCCTCTCTCGGAATCCAGGCGTCGTCGCTGCTGCCGCGTTGAAGGGACACTGCCTCCGCGTCTCCTGGTTCCCCGAGAGCCGCTCTGGGGCCCGGTGTTCCCCATTCAGTGCTTGCGCGGTGCCCCTTGATTGTTGGTTGAAACAAGCCAGCCTTCTGTCGCTTGGGCCTTTGTGATTTCTTCTAGCTGCCCACGCGCCGCAGGTTTCCGATGAAGTACGTGAAGGCGCTTCAGTTTTCATGAGAGGGTCCCTGATAGGGGCTGGTTCTTTGGCCTTGTTCGGGCCGGTGGCTTAGATGCCTGAGATCGTCCGTGGACCTTCCCAAACAATCGGGGGTGAGCGCACTGTGAACTGTTTGTCTCCTTCCTTTGACTTCATAAGCCGTCATTACTCGTCATTGTCATCCTGGTTCCTTGCCGTCGGTCCCGCTGGGCACAAACAGAATCATCATCGTCATCCTCATCATTACCATTCTCATCATCATCACCAGCATGGGCGCTATCATCATTATTATCATCATCGTCATCCTCACCTTCATCATCAATCTTATCGTCCTCGTCTTCATCTCCATCGCCATCTTCATTTTCGTCACCATCATCGTCATCCAATTCATCAGCGATGTCACCATCATGGTCATCAGCATGATCATCATGACCGTCACCAGCAGCATTAGCATCACCATCATCATCACCATCATCATCACCATCATCGTTATCACCAGTGCCATCATCATCGTCATCATCGTCATCATCGTCATCATCAACACAGTACTCATCATCATCATCATCATCATCATCATCATCATCATCATCATTATCATCATCATCACCATCGTATTCATCATCATCGTCATCATCCTCACGATGGCCATCATCATCATCATCATCATCATCATCATCATCATCATCATCATCATCATCATCATCATCATCATAGTCGTCATCATCGTCATCATCATCGTCGTAATCAGTCGCGGCAGCAGCATCATACCCCTCCTCTTCGTCGTCGTCGTCGGCTCGTCGCCGCCCGCTGCTGCGGCCGCCGCCGCCTGGCCCCGAGGTGCCCAGGCTGTGGAGCTCCTCGCAGAGGGCGCGGCGCCGCGACGCCTGCGGGGTGCCCCCGCCCGGGCGCCGCCGCCGCTGCTCGCCCGCCGCTGCCCGGACGGCGTGGCCACCGCTCGCTCGCCGCTTCTGTTCGCCGCTGCCGCTCGCCGCTGCCGCTCGCCGCTGCCGCTCGCCGCTGCCGCTCGCCTCTGCCGCTCGCCGCTGCCGCTCTCCGCTGCCGCTCGCCGCTCGCCCGCCGCTGCTCGCTGCTGCCGCGCGCTCGCCGCTACTCGCTCACCGCTGCCCGCTGGCTCGCCACCCGCTCGCTCGCAGGCGTGATGCCTTTTTTGGCGGTCAGAGGACCTGGAGATCCTGACGTTTTTGCCCGGATTCGGTCTCTGGGAGCCTCGCATATCGACCCGGCTCGAAAATGCTGCTCTAGCGCGTGTATAATGTATAATTGTCCGACGGGCCTACACCACATATTCCGGGCTTGCACCATATTCGGGTCTGCTCTGCAAGTTACCTTGAAGGTTTGTCGGCGAGAAATATCTCCCCCAGGAAATTGTCGAGGATCGGTGTTAACGATCGTTGTTCGTTTGTATTGTCGTTCGCGGCCACGGCTGCTTGGTCGGCCGTGCCCGTTTTTCAACCGACAAGTTCAGCCACGCGACGGAGCCGTGAAGTCTCGCGACGGCGCCGAAAAGGCGGTTTCGAATTGCCGAATTGGTGGTCGGAGCTTTGGTTGTTGATGCAGTATACAACAACAGTCGGACTCATTAGCATGTAAGCCAAAACTCCGAACCACTAACTACTTCGTGACCCAACATAATGGTCAGCGGGACGCAGGTCTTGCGCGCAGAAAGATGTGGTCTAGGGCTGTGGTCGTGATTTGTTTTCGATGTTGCATTTCCCACAACGTCGGAGCTGAGGGTCTTCGCACCAGCATTCGAATACTAACAAATTGCAGAAATCGAATTTCGGTGAGGTCCGCGCGGACTTGTTGCATCGGCGTTGGGCCCCCCTCCCTGGCGCGCGCAGCGCGCCATGGGGGCCGCCCAGTGGCACTCCAGTCCTAGGAGGACGAGTGGAGGACGAGTGGACACGACGGTATACGCTGACCCCCGCGCCGGCGCCGCCGCTCGCGTGGCCACCCGGCTTCCGCGCGGGCGTCACAGCAGGCGTCGCCTCGAGGGCGTGAGGTCATTCACTCGTCGCGGCCTGCGATTCGCGATTCCTCATCCTCATGCTCATCCTCCTCGTGCTTTTCCTCTCTCCTCATCCTCATCATCCTCATCCTCATCATCCTCAGCCTCATCATGCTTTCCTCATCATCCTCATCCTCATCCTCGCTCGCCATTTCTCCTCCTCGTCGTCCTCCTTTCCCCCGGGGAGGTGTGCAGGGGGCGGGCCGGGGGCGGCCCCGTTTCCCCTGAACCCCAGCCTTCCCGCCCTGCCCAGGGCGAGGGTGCAAGCACGCGCGGCTCGGCGCACCGCGATAGATCCGCCTCCCCTGCTTGGCCTGGGCGGCTGCGGTGGCGCAGGGCGGAGGCTCGCAGGTTCCGCCGCGGCGAGGCGGCGCGGGCCTTTCTTCGTGGCCAGCACGGCGACTCAGACATGGCAGGGCAGCAGCAGGGCAGAGGGCGTTCCTCCCCTCGCCAGCAGCCCCCTTGTCAACATGTGGCGATGCGAGCACGCCGATTGTCGATGCAGCAAGAACTTGTTGCATTGGACGTGGTGCAAGCATTGCGGAAGGGCCAAGACGGGAGGTAAGTTCCTAAATGCTCCATGGTACCATCTGGGTACTGGGGTGATGGCGTTGCTCCTGTTGCCAGTGCTTCTTCTTCCCCTCCATATTCCGATTCCCTGTGTGTCAGGGCGCTGGAAACCTTGGTGCGTTTTGCCGAGCAGAACGGAGACGAATCCATGGCCAACAGTTATCGGGACAACACTGCTGCCAGGCAGAAGGCGGCCAACCTCTCAGCTGGAGCTCTCAGTCGACGAGCTTAAATCCATTGTGCAGCTGGCTGAGAAAAGCGGCGACGCGGCAACGGCGAAGAAACACAAAGGCTTGCTCGAGAAACAGCAGGCCACCAAGCCTTCGGTCCCCACTCAGACCAGGGCTAACCAGGCAAATTCGAAGGCGCAGCAGCTCACCAAATCATTGGGCTACGAGCAGGGCGTGCTGGCAGACCTCGTGGAGCAGATGGAGACGCAGCGCGGCACGGTGCAGCCCTTGCTCGCGGAGCTGGAGGCGGCGGAAGTGGAGTAGAAGGTGGCGGTGGCGGCGCTGGCTGCGGGCGCTGGAGCCGTGGAACCGAGTTCTGCAAAACCGAAGTTTTCGCTGGCCAAGCTCATCGATGGGGAGTTGGCAGATCTGGATCTGGACGATGAAGGCCTGTTCGGATACGCCGAGTTCGAGGTGCTCGGGCCCGAAGCTCTGGAGGGGGCCAGAAAAGGAGGTAAGCTATGCTCGACCACTTCAGAAGTATGGCGACACACTTCTTCGGCGAGGTCAGTTCGAAAGGCGCAGCTCTGCAGAAGGAGCATCGAGAAGCGGCCCGCTACAAAGAAAACGAAGACGGATGAAGGGGCAGGCCGCGCCGAACGACGCCGGAGGCGGAGCAGAGCGCGGCGGCTGGCGCGGCGCCGCGGGCGCCTGGCGCTGCGAGGTGGCGGCAGTTGCTGCGGAGGCTGCGCCTGGTGCTTCGAGCAGGGCGCGACGGCGGCGGCTGAGTTCGAGGCCAAGGCGAGGGCCGCAGTGGATGCGGCGAGGCCGCGGGCAAGGGCGAGGGCGATCAGTCGGGCCTTTAGCCCGATGCCGCGCGGCATTTTTAAGAAGAGTGGGGCGCTGGCAAGTCGACGACGGCTCCGCGCCCGTTTTGATCTCCCGGATGTGCGAGGCGATCAGGGCGCAGGCGAGTGCGACTACTCTCAGTCCTGCGAGGTCCCTTGCACCGCCAGTTCTACACCTATTTACGCTGGTCAGCACCACGTCGACTGGGTTGACTGGGAGCGCCTGCGCTACATCTGGGATGACTGGGTCTTCTGGTGAATGTGAGCACTCACTGGCGGTGGCTGCTGGCATGCACGCTGCCATCACGGCCTCTCCGAGCCCCTGCTCTCGCTCGCGAGCAGCCTCGCGGTGGGCGGGAGCTTGAACTGCGATTTCCGATTCTGAGGTCGCCTCCGCCACGGACGGGGGGCCCAGGTGCCATGCTGATTTTACCTCTCCTGGTTTTGCCCGGATTTTTTACCACCCAAGAGGGGACGAGCGTAGCGACATCTCAGTGTTTCGACGTTTTAGAAGCCCCCCCCCCCAGCCGCCTTGCACGGACGGATTGTCCCTGAGAGTGGAGTCGTGCAGCGCGACCCGCTGGAGCTCGCCGCGGGAATGGCGCAGCAGGGCGGAGTCGCACGTGGTCTGCCTTCAGGAACATCACATCGTGAGCGATGCGGAGATTCGCGGGGCAACTCCTTGGTGTGCTCGCCATGGGCGGAAGGCAATTCTATATCCAGCGATCGCAGGCAAGGGCGAAGGCTCCGCGGAAGGTGTCGGCATCCTGGCCAGCATGTGCTCAGGGTTGCACGGGCCTTTTTGGGGCTTCACCCTGGTGGAAGGGCGGGCGTGTAACGCCCGCGTCCACCTTCCTGTGGAGCCTTCCCTCCAAGTGGCTTCGGTGTATATGCACGACAGCGAAAGCCTCTCTGAGCGGAATGCGGGCACCTTGAATACCTTGGGGCCGTGGTCAAGAGTTCTGGGATGCAGGCTTAATTGGGCGACTGGAACTTCCTTCCTGAGCAGTTGGTGGCGCCTGGGTTTGCAGAAAAGCTCAGTGGGGCCATTCTTGATGCGAATGGTGTGTGTGTGTGTGTGTGTGTGTGTGTGTGTGTGTGTGTGTGTGTGTGTGTGTGTGTGTGTGTGCGCATGTGTGTGTGTGTGTGTGTGTGGGGGGGGGGGGGCTTGTCTGCCGCGCGGGTGCTGGAGCACGTTGGATTACTTCATTGGTGCCGGTGGCATTTCAAAGGCCACCGAGTCGACAGAGGTGCTCATGGATGCCCCTCAGTCACCTCGTCCTGTTTTCCTCCAGCTACGCCCGCAGTTGAGCCAGCTGAGCGCCCTGTCCTTTCGCGAGCCCCCCCCCCCATCCCCGCGGAGAGGCCCCGCGGGGCGGCGCGCAAGCCGCCAAACTGGGAGGCCCTGGAGGAGGCTGCAGAAGGATGTCTTGGGACTGCCATGGCGGGAAGGATGGGGGGGCGCAGGATTTGTTGGATTGGGCGCAGGGGGGGTGGGCCAGGCTAGCTCAGTCCGAGCTTTGTAGTTTGGCCCAGGCGGAGTTTCTTTTGTGGGGCGCGCTGGGAGTCCCCTCAGCTGCCTTGGCCCCCTGCCATTTCCATCGTAAGTCCTCCTTCTCGATATCCTCGGCTCTATGCTGGGAAATGGGCATGTCGGGGACTCCAGGACCTGATTTCGGCGTTTCTATCCGAGGACGTCAGGGCTCAGGCATTTCATCGAAGACTTCGTGGCCTTCCCGATTTCGCGGGCGCTGCAGCTGATGGTGGCTTTGAGGCGCTGTGCAGGCGCAAGTCGCGGGCGCGTCCCTCTTTCCAGTCGAGCAGCCTGGAGGTTTGAGCCAGTTGGCAGTCGCAGGCCTCCGACTGTCACGAGTTGGCGCAGGCATGTCTTGCCGAGTTCCAAGCTGAGCCCGACAGTCAGGCGAGCAGGGGTGGATAGACTGGCTTCTCAGCAACGTCCGCGAGGGTGCCAGGGCCGCGCGCTCGGCCTCCAATGGGGGCCCCTGGATGGAAGGCCACGGCGGCTTTCTCCGCTGGGGGCCTGGCCCTGTCGGACCCGCTGAGTCCCCCGCGCAAGGAACCCAAGACCTGGTCGAATCTTCGGGGGGCCTCAGACGAGAAGCCAGAGCGTATGTTTAAAGAGCTCTGCCAACCGCTGCCGATGATCCAGCCCGAGGCGATTCGTGCTACCTCGGCGGCGTGCAGGGCTCGCGCTGCGCAGGCTGTGGGCGGCTCTCATATGCGCCGCTACTCTTGGCTATCGGACCCCGCGCT